CTTCTGTTCAAAACACTCAAACTCAACACCGTTCTATCTGAGCTCTGAAAAGACCGTAACAATCTAATCTTGCCTAGATTATGCTCTCATTCTATGCACTAATGATCATTCGTGAATCGGCATGCAGAGGCGCATAGCAGATAGTGAGACTAAATTTAGAATAAGCGTTCAATGCTCTTAAAAGTGGTACCGGAATTATCAGCAAAGGCCACTTTCGAAAGATTGGATTTCCCTTGTAAGCATTTTTAAGAGTTATTTTGTAGACAGTCAGCTCTTTTTATTATTTAAATTTTTTGACAGGTTATTGAGAACGTTCCTATGATAACGAGTGTCGAGACTCTGAATCACTACAATTGCGACTTCTGCGTTCATGGAGGTGAATATTCATGTTAACCTGTTTTTTTCATCATTCAAATTCTAGACGACATTTCTCGCACAGCAGATGGAAAAGACACTTTCGAAGAAGTAAAAAAAGCAAATCGTTACCGAGAATGCAAACGCACTTCTGGAGTGTCGACGACTGTAGATCTTCACTTAGTCGATGCTGTAGAGTGTCTCACTCATGGCATTTATAGGATATCGTTGAAAGATTGCTGTCCTTGACGAAGTATCACCATAGATCTGAAGAGGAATTGGATAAGAGTTGCAAAAGAGTTCAGTTTTTGAACACGGTTGGTTGCTGGGATGTTTTTGTCGTTTGCCAATGCCAGAATATTAGATCGGTTCATCTTTAGAAAGGGTTTTGGATTCTGTAATGTTTACTGTTATAACGATAATTTCTTTTGGAGTTTGCATAAACGGTAAGACCAAAGTGAACATTAAAAACTTGAAAGCTACAGTTTTATATTGAATGGTCATTGGTTGATTGCGGCGTTTTGAACGGGATTGAAAAAATTTTTTTTTGCGTTTAACATGCTAACAGATCTCTACCTTAGATTCGAAGGCTTGACAGCGCATTATCAATTGACGTCGACAGTTCAAAATTTCGTAAGTGGTGGTCGTTAATATCGTATACATAGACTTAGGGTTTGGTTTAAGGTCAGTTTTGAATGTGCATTCTTTGCTGCAAAGCTCAAATCTGGAGCACTTACATCCTGCGAAGCCTTGACGCAAGTGGTGTGCAGTGTTTTTACGTCATTCTTAAAACTTAAATGTTTGATTCTCACATGCACTTTTGAGTGCAATACATAACATCTATGCGGCCAAACTCGTTCGACAGTTCTGTTGAATTTTTTGGGCAGAACATAGCAACCACTAAGCGACATCATGTTGCTGTGAGAAGAAAGCAAAGAACTTGCTTGCTAGCTGGATTCAAACACACACCAATAATCAGTGACTACACGACCACATTTGAAGACATGGTTCTTTATATATGCATGGCTCCCGATTAACAGTCCCAGTTGATTAATGCGCAGTTCAGATCGACCTTTCTCCCAAGTCTCGCATCTGTGTATATACCACATCTAAGTCGGCCACTTCGACTTGTCAAATTTCCCTTGTCCGTCCACCACTCAAATCATACTACTATTTGGTATTTGCCATTTCTGGTTGAGTTTTTGTTTATGACTTTTATATTGTTGTTCTCATTACTTTTTTA